CCCCCCCCCCCGTGGGACCAGAGTCTAGGACAAGTCCACTCAGGAAGCAGAGGGCAAGTGTGGGGCCCCTGGGGCATTCCTGAGTCCCTCTGTGGTGGCCCAGGCACTGACACGCTTTCATCTGCACTGGGGCTCCTCACACCTTCTCAGAGAGGTTCTTCCTCTGGGCCTCTGAGAGAAGGGTGCTGGCCTGGACTTCTGGGCACTCCTCTCTGAGAGCACCCTGCAGCTTTCCAAATGCAAGAGATGTGGGCCTGCTACAAAAAGGTGGCTAGCCCCTTCTCCTGGCCACAGCCACACTGCCAGCCCAGACTCCAGGACTGAGCAGACTGGCTGGGCCCACCACAGGGGGGCTTGCGGTACAGGCTGCAGGGTGGAAGTGGGCACGAGCCCATTCACTCAAGCCAGACTAACACCCATGGCAGCATATGCTCCAGCCTGGGGCTGACTCTTCACCCCATCTGACCACGGTGACACTGCATTTCCTCCAGCGCAGATGAGGGCAGGTGGGGGAGGTCCTGGGCAAGGTGCCCAGGCCTCACACAGTGGCTAGGCAGGGATGTAGATGTGCACTGGGCACTGCCCGGCTTGCAGGACAAAGGGGATACTCAGAAGCCTCAGGCCAGCACACTGAGCCAGGGAGAGGGGGTTTCAGCAGTGTTTGTGAGCAGGTCTCAGCAACATCGAGGAATCCCAGCGTTCATTAGAGTCGGAAAGAGCTGTGACCACCCTGAGACTCCATGGGCCATGTAGAGGGGACTCTGAGCAGGGGCAAGTAGGTGTCCATGGCGGCTGCCACTGGCCAGACCACGTAGCCTGTCTGTGCCTATGGAGAAGCTTGCGTGTTCAAGCTGACTGGGCTGCCAAAGACACAGGTTCCCGAGGTCACACTCACCCAGCCTCCTGGAAGTGACATTTCAGAAGCAGACCCGCCCCTGAGGCCCTGGCAGCATGGAGAGAGTGGGCAGTCTGCCTCTGCTCAGGTCTTGAAGAGAGGTCCTGGCCACCCTTGGCTGGGATCCAGGGCCGGGGCAGGTGAGCCTGGGATGAAGAAACCCATACCCACCCTCCCACCCCCATGGGGCCTTAAGGAGCTGGGGGATGGGGGCAGGGAAGGGCACCTCCCCCCAGGTGAACAAGGGCACCTCCCCACTCCTGCCTGCCTCCCTCCATCCCTCTGGTGACACCCCAGCACTGAGAACTCCACTCCCTCTCCCCACACTTTTGTTTATCTCTAATTAAGGGCCATATGGAGGGAGCTGCAGCACACCAGGGACCCAGGGAGTGATGGCCCGGAGCCTGGGTGAGACCTGGCCCAGTCCCTGGACCCAGAGAGGTCAGGGTGGAGAACAGAGAACATGGGTGCTGGCAGTTCTGAGGTCTGCTCAGGCCGGCGGGCCTTTGTTTACTGGCCTGTGAGACACTCTGGGTCCTCGGAGCAGTTAAGCTCCCAGGGCCGAATTTCTCACCCTCCTCTCCCAAAAGGGTCCTTGTGGCCACCAGTGTCATTGTCACCATAGTCCCATCACAGGCTGAAAGACGCCCGGAGACAAGCTGAACCCACTAGCACCCTTCTAGCAAAAACCCAGCCAGCACCCAACTCCAGGGCCAAAGCCCATGGCGAGCCTGGCCAGTGCGCTCCTCGCGGAAGACCCACACCACCCATAAAGCGGAGCGGGCACCTGAGCAGAGCCCACAGCACAGCCGGGGTAGCGGCGGGCAGCACTCAGAGGGCGGTCTGGCAAACCCTGATTCTCAGTTTTAAATACGAAAACCCAGTTGCGTTGGCATCACAACAGCCACCTCTCCCCCACCCCCCGCCCTGCCCCCACAAACATGACAGGAGCAGGCGCTGCCGCCGCCGCCGCTGTGGGGTCCGCGCGTCCCGCGAACACACACCCAGACGCCGGCTGAGGGTTCAGACGCACGCAGCACGCAGGACGGGCGCTCCCAAGACAGCCCCTCTACTTCAGGGTGGGCATCCGACGCCGGGCCCGCAGCCCCGGTGGCCGGCCTCAGAGACATCTAAGCCCACCTCTAACGCACAAAGTTTCTCCTGCGGCAGCACTGGCCTACCCCAGGACCCCAGAGGAGCAGGGGCAGCGGGGAGAAGCGCAGAGCCTGGAGCCTTCATCTTGGAAATCAGCTCCGCTCCCCGCCCTCCCGGCTCGGCCAAGGTGAAAAGCCAAGCCTTTGTCAGCAAAAGCCCACAATATTGACTTACCTTCCCTGCAGCTATTGTCTGTCCTGCTCAAAATGACATCATGGAAAGCAATCATGAAATTTACATGGGGGTGCAGGAGCTGGAGCAAGGCAGCTGCCTCCTCCCGGGGTCACATGTGGGGGACCCAGCGGCTCAATTAAATACCTTGTCCCCTCAGAGTGAGACTCCGAAGCCAGCTCGCTGCCGCGACGACGTCTCATTTACTTAATGACGGCGCTCATTAGCAGCAGTGGCACGGGCTGGCGAGAGCTCCTTTGTAAATACGCTACCCATGAACCCTTGGGGCTCCAATATATCTGTTTACTCTGCGAGGTGAAATAAATTTACAGCATCAGAAAGATGGATCTGCGGACTCGGGGAGCGGGCGGTACCCCGGCCGGCGGGAGCCCCAGCTCCCGTCCCGAGCCGCGCCGGCAGCAGCGCCGCACACGCCCTCACTGGCTCATAATTAATATGCAGCATAATCGGGGCTCATTTATGCAAAACACACAAAAGGGCGGGGAGCGGTACAACAGCCGCACGCACCCCCCTGCGCTTCGTGCGCCGGTGGTTCAGTCCGATAATTCCTAATAGCAGGGCCGGATGACAGATGCCTGGGTGAGCGGCTACCTCCGAGGCACTTGACGATATTTATTGGTGGTGAGGAAGATGACCTAGCAGGACAGGCAGGATTTATTCCCAGATGGGCCAGGAATGATGTGCGGCCACATCTGCATATTCAAACCCATGGGTAGGCTGGGGTGGGGGGTGGCGGGTTGGGTCGGGTGAATGAAGGAGGGATCACTTCAGGCAGAGCCAGACAAGGGCCCCAACTCCTCTCAGACCTTTCTTTGGGCTTGAATTTGTTAAGTCATCAGTTCTTCTCAAATAGGAGCCGCTGGACACCCCAGAGGTGGGTCTCCTGCCTGAAAATGTTTGTCTTTCCAGAGGAGAGCAGCTCCCTTCTCAAGTTTTCCGTCCTTCTGGGTCTTTTTAAGGAGACTTGAAATCAGCTGTCCAATGACAGTCACACACAATGGATGCCCACCCCCCTCCCCTGCCCCCTTTCTCCACCATCGGTCTGCTGACATCGGGAGCCCACAGCACTCACACACAGTTCAAGGGGACAGAAGTCCAGGGCAGAGACTCCCACTGGAAGGGAGTGTTCCTTCTTGGCGACTTACATAGAAGAACAACGCCCCCAACTTAACTGGCAGGAAGGACTTGTGCCACAGGAAACACTAATGAAACGAAACTGGAATATTTTGCTTTCCCTAGGAAAGCATGTTTTGAACACTCCCACAGCGTGGGCTCACCACATGATTTGATTCTTTTTTTTTTTCATGAATTGATTCTTACACACACACACACACACACACACATCCTCCCAGCAAGTGAAAGACACAATGCACACAGACGCATCATCCAGATTGGGCAAGAAGGAATAGCCACAGCCTGTGCTGGTCAAACTTGGAATGAAATATTAATTAGCAAAACGAGACCAGCTCCAGACTCCCTACCTTTTATTATTATTCTTTCCTAAGCTCATATCCATTAGCATAAAAGGACATATTCAGCTGAGAGCTCTCCTGAAAAGCCATTTCCATCTCCTCAGGACACACAGGGAGTGCTGGGAATTTTGCGTCCCCAGCCTTTGGCTTTCAGAAATTCTATTAAACTCTTATCGGCATGCTGCAGGCTGGGTCTGCCCCCCACTCCATTGTCGATGGAGAAGATAGACTGGAAGAAGGCGCTGCTGAATCAGCCTTATTCCCCAACAATGACCAGAGGGGGAGTTGTTTAATTCAGATATGGAACCACAGCCTTAAGGAATAACAACAAAATCGAGGTGACAACAGGGAGAAACAAACACAGGACACAAAAAGTCCTCGTTTGCGTGTGATATAATTTTTTTCAGGTAATGTACATGATATCTGAGTAAAACGAAATCTCTCAGCCACTAATGTTTTCTCTTTATAGAACAATATTCTCCCTGAGGTGTGTGGCCCTGGTGGCCATGCGTGGGGCCTCCGGACTCAACTGGGGACTTAAATCAGTCCTCGCTTTGAGCCAGGGGAGCCCCGGTGCCCCAAGATGGTTCAGTCATTAGCTGAGAAGTCGAAGGAACAAAGGGACCTTCGCATAGAAGGGGTGGGAAGGGCCTCTGCCGGCTGGCCAGTCCCTTGGTGCCGTGGGCCTGGGCGTGGGGGCAGCGAGCTTGGAGAGCTTGGAGAGCACCGGCCTGATCAGCACTTCGGACAGCGCTCCCCGCCCTTTGTCCCGCCGAAGCTGCAGCGGCAGCGACCGAGAACTTGACTGGTCAAGGAGCCCGGTTCCAACAAGGCTCCAGACGGCACCCACCCGCGCCCAAGAAGCAGAACCTGAAACTTTTCTCCTCGCGCGAAGTGAGTCCTGGCCGGGTTTTTAAACGACTGCACCCGTCCCTATTCCATACCAAGCACGGACTGCTGTCCCTTTAAATTCATAAAGGCCTCCGGGCAAGCTGCAGGTGACTTTCAGCCCGTCTGTCCGCTGCGACCAGCCCCTCCCAGTTGGTGGGCCAGGGACGCCACAGGGCAGAGTCAGAAGCAGATTTGCAGGTCCCCAACTTGGAGCTGCAGCCGCTCTCACTTGAGAAAGCGCTTTGTGTGTGGGGGGCGCTAATGGTCCCTTAGCTGGTAAGATCATTTCAAACAAAATGTAATTACTTGTGCAAATCTGCACACAGACATTCCAAGTGTCAGTTCATTTGCTTTATAAAAAACTCTTTCAAGTAATTTTGGCCTAAACTTTTCTGCATGTGTAATTGGCACCACCTTCTCGGGTGACCAGCTGGGGGTGAACGTTTGCTTGTTCCTTTCTGAAAGCGTCCCCGCAGATGGGCGCCTGCCTCCGTGCTGCAGACTACAATTAGGACCGTTGTGTGCGGCGATGGTCAGCATTAATATTGTATACGAACAGCTGAGGGCTGGGGGGGCGCTGCCCCAGGCAGCCCTGGCAGATGGAGCAAACAAAACCAGAGCCTCTTCCCCGACACTAGGGCCTGACTTCGGGCGCCCGCCTAACACTCGTCCGCGGGCCGCTCCCACCCCCACCCCACCCCACCCCCTTGCGCGCGCCCTTGATCCTTGGTCCTCTTGGACGACTTTCGCGTGGAGACATGAACACAGCAGCCTTTCATCCGATAGTGTGAACAACTCACCACCCACGTGCACCCACACGCGCGCACGCACAGGAGCCTGGATGGGGTAGCCCACGGAGCCCCAGCAGGTGGCAGCCCCCCTCCAAATACACGAATCAGAGTGCCACCTCTTCTCTGAAAGGCGGCAGCCCCAGCCTCTGACCCAGCCCAAGGAACCTCCCCTTCCTGGAAGGGCAGGTGAGCCGCGCAAGGAAGGTCCTCGTTGCTCCCCTCTCCCGCCCCACTTCCGAAGCGCGCTGGTAGGAGGGACAGCCCACGGCAGCGCTCCGGCCTCGGAGTCCACCGTGTAGCCAGATGAGCTGGGCACTGGGCCTGAGGGCCCGACCCATCCCCGAGGGCACCGTCTGTCACCTCCCAGCAGCCTGGCAAAGCGAACAGGGCAAGAGGGCGGGGTGGGGGTGGGGGGTATACGCACCCAGGAAAGTTCCGCAGAGCGTCATCCTGGCCGGGGGGCTCCACTCCAGAGCCCAGACAGCTCCTTCCACGCTGAAAAAGTTTCGACACAAACTTCTGAGCTGGGAGCCTGGTAGCTCGCAGCAGCCAATCAGAGCCCGTGCGAGCGGCCCAAAGGCCCAGCAGCTGCCCGGGAGGCCCCGCCCCAACGACGGCGGCCAGACAATGGGCCCCGCCTGCGAGAGTCAGAGGGGGCGCGACCGCTAATGGATGAGGGGCGCAGACGATGCTCCCACTAACCACATCCTCCGAGATCACAGGCCCCCCAGAGGGTTGTCAGGGCCAGGCCGGGTGGGGCAAGCGGGGGCCTAGGAAGGTCTGGCCTCCCCACACCCACAGCCTCCGAAGCCCGAATGGGGCTTGGGTTAACATCTCTCCCGCCCCCCGCCCGCCCACCTCCCCAGGCAGGGGCTGGGAATCCTGGAGAAAGGTGGGAGGTCCTCTAGGAAGGGGGGACACCTCATGGAGGAGGGGGGGAGACAAAAGGGGATTGGACCCGATCCTGCTCAGGGAAGAGGAGAGGCTGGGATGGGCTAAGGCCACCTGTCCTCCAATGAAACCTAGCTGAGCACCTTCCTTGCCCTGAGCTCTCTCTGTTCAATGCAGGGCAGTTCAGGCCTTCCCTCCAGGGGGATAGGAGTCTTGTTCTCAGAGTCTCCACAGCCCTGGCTGCAGGGAACAAGGAATGAACTCCTGGCTACTGGGCTCAGGGAGGGGACAAACACACCTCCCAGACCACTCAGGCAGCAGTGCACCTTTTCATACTGAGAAGGAGATAGCAACTCCAGGGCAAGAGCGCTTCAAGGGGCATCTGGTGGACAAAGAGCAGCAGCCCAAGCCAGGCTTGGAACGGGCCCAAAGCTTGGACCCCCACTCCAAGCTAATGTGAGCAGAGCCGTGGAAGGAAGAGCATGGAGCCTGCAGTGTGGCACTCAGTGATGTGGCAGGGCTAGTAGCACTACACAGTGGGGATGGGCTGTGTTGGCCTCCCTGTCCTCTCCTTGGGTCCCTACGAAGGCTGCTGTGGGTGCTGTGGGGTCATGTGACCTAAACTGGATAGAAAGCAGACCTAGGGCTCAGTGTCCTGGATTTAGACCTCAGAAAAAAATACTCACAGCTCAAAGGCCAGGCACGCTCCTAAGGCTCCAGGCTAAACCTGTCTTGACTTTCCCGCCTTTGGGTACACCAGGTGTCCTTAGCTTGTGGCCACATCACTCCAGCCTCTGCCTCTTCAACCATGTGCCCTTTTCCCCATCCATTGTCTGTGTCTGCTCTCTTTTTATGAGGGCATCCTACTGCAGTGTGACTGCCTGTGAGCTGATAGCATCTGAAAAAGACCATTTCCACACAAGGGCCAGTTCGAAAGTGCAGGGTTAGGCCATGGCATATCCAACCTAGAACAGTGGTCAGTGGTTTGGCTGTGAGGGCCCAGAAAGGCTGCGTGATTCCAGACTCATGTCCTGAGACATAGCAACTGTCTCTCTCTGTGTGCCAGTCTCTCTTGTTCTTCTGCATATCTGTCTCTCTGTGTCTCAGACGCTGTCTGTCTCTGTATCCATCTCACTGTGTCTCTGTCTCCTCTCTGCCATCAGTGTCTATGTCTCTGTCTCTCTATCTCTGTCTCTCCCTCTCTGTGTCTCTGTCTCTCCAGCCCTCTGTC